TGTGCAACTTTGAGCTGGTTACCTAACCTCTCTGAGCTACTGTTTTTCATCTAAAATGGGTGTAAAAGTACCTATCTCAGAGAACTTCTGTGAGGATTAAAGAAATAACAGATATAAAAGATCTTGCCTAGTACTTGACCCACACTAGACACTTAATACATAATAATTTTTCCTTCCTTCTCAAATGGCCTCCCAGGCATGATGACTGAGATTCTCTCAGATTAATCAATCAGATCAGTGTTTCTGAAATTTATCTTTAGCACAGGATCTTTTCCTAAAATAAGCTTTTACATGGAAACCTAATATCTAAAACAATTAAAAGCAGAGTTTTATTAGTATAAACATAACTTAATGCTCACATTGTATAACATTTGTTTATTGTAAACTGTCCACTGAGAACAATGCAGTGTCTGGATGATCTTATCCTTTTTTTTGTTGTTGGCAGCTGGCTGGTACAGGGGTCCAAACCCTTGACCCTGGTGTTACAACACCAATCTTAGCCTTTTAAAAGTGGGTGTTGCAGTATTGGATTGTTTTCCCCATTCATAAAAATTGAATAAAGCATTTGTGGGATCCCTGAGGGCCCCTCCAAGGGAACAAGTTGAAAACCCCTACAGTGCAGCACTACCTGCAGCAGGCCCCTGAGAGAATGGTGCTGCATGCCCAGAGGAGAGAGCTCCTTAACCACTGGTGCCAGTCAGCCCCTCAGTGCAGGCTGGAGTATTAAACCCCAGTGTTGGAGCAGGAAGAGGCCTCAGGGCTGTTTAGTCTGGCAGTTTCAAAATTTTTCCTTAATTAGCAGAGTCCCTTTTTCCGAGGAGATCTTAAACAGAAGAGTGTCAAACAGAGACAGCAGAGGGGTTTCCCTGGTTAAGTCAGTGAGGTTGGGAAGGTGGTGGGCTGACAGTCCCCAGTGGGTTGTTCCTCAAAGCTCCATTTGACCGCCTGTGCCTTGACACAACCACTGCATATTACAGTGGAGGAAATAGGCCCAGGGGTCTCAGCTGGCCCAATAGGCCCAAGGTCACACTTTGAGTCTGCAGGGAGCTCCTTTGGTTAGCAGGAGTCAGCTCCTGTGAGAGCAGACCCAGGATGTAATGATGTGCTGGCCGGGGAGGTGTTAGGAGAGGCCAGAGCTCAGAATCAGAGATGGGGTGGAAGACTTGAGGATGGGGCTGAGGTGGGGGAGTGGGAAGGAAAGGCACACAGCAGCAGGGGCGTCTAGGAGGGGACAAGGGGGATTCCCAAGGAGAGTGTCTCAGAAGACACTCTGCCTAGTTCACATATTGCATGGGAAAAAAATTTTGTTTATCTGAAATTCAAATTTAACTAGGCATCCTGTATTTGTTCTGGCAACAATCTGTCTTCCTCCCTGTCCCCTAATCCATACCCTTCACGTAGGGTCCCACCAGATAAGCCTATTACAGTGGTGGTTTGAGCTTCCTGGTTGAGTAATTCTGGAGTTCTGACCTGGTAGTGGAATGTGTGGTCAGACTGTTGGGGCGGATGGGAGGGAGGGTGGGCAGCAGCTAGTGGCTAGTACCTGGGCCTTTGGTCTCTCACTCCACCCTGAGAGCCCATGAGCTAGAGAGATGACCAGGAGCTCTCCCTCAGACATTCTGGGAGGCCAGTGCCACTCCTCGGAGGTTCTGTCCCACTGCTGGGAAGAGCCTAAACATTCTGGTTCCAGCAACAGCAGAGTGTGTGGAATCAGAGCGTTTCCTTCCGAGGGGAAAGGTTTGAACATTCAAGGGGAGAGTTAGCCGTTAGGCAGATGTTGATAAAACAACTCTTTGCCCTTTTCCAGGGTCTGCTAAGAACTCGAGCTCATTTGGGGAACCTCTTAAGGGTGGATATTCATTTCCATTTCCAGCATATAGCAATATTTTAGGTGCAACATAGAGGCTCTTAACTGTGCAATTGAATTTTGGTTTTAGGATTATCCTTTAAAGAAGAGCTCCTATTATTATTCAGATTGTATAGGTGGAGAAACTGAGGCAGAGAGGACTCAGTGCTTTGCCTAAGATCATGGAGACCCTCAGGTCTCTCCACAAGGGGCAGTCTTATGCTATAGAGGGCCTGTAGTCAGAGGTCTGTGTGGCACTGGGCTCTCTGAGCCTCAGTTTCCCTGTCTGGAAGTTGAGACTAATAGACTATGCTCCTTATAAGTGTAAGAGTCGTGCCCTGTTGTGGGCTGTGACTGTTAGGGCTGGCAGGAGCTGAGAGATTCAGTATCTGCGGAAAGACTTTGCCTGTGCTGAGACCCCCAGGAGGAGAATGTTCTCTCACAGAAGGGCTGGGGGCATCTCACCTGGCTTGGCCAGGGGAGAATGCTGGCTTCTCACCTCTCTTGCCCTCATCCTGTTCCAGTGAGGACACGGGCACCATTTCTGAGGCATCACTCTTTACACGCTCTGACCAGAGCTTCTTTGGTACCTTTTAAAAATAATTATTACTGTAAATGAGAGAAAAATACTTTGAGAAATGACTCTTCTCTCCACATTAAAGTCCAAAGAATATTAAATTAGAACTAGGAGTTATGAAGCCCATATATTTAAAGACACCAGAATATGCTGAGGCAGGGACTTGGTGATGGGAAGACTGGACATTACTGTGACTGGGAAGGGAGCCCCCTCTGCCCCAGCTTCTGAGGCCAGTCACCTCACCTGCAAAGGGAAGGCTGGACAAGGTGACCTCTGAGGCCTCTTCCAGCTTGCTGATCCATGTTCCACATCCCCAGCTGGACCAGGCGCTTCTGGTCTTCCCTCATACTCTGCTCAGATAGAGCTGGAGAATCAGCTGACTCACTGAGCAGTCGGGGAGCGAGGGGGTTCCAGTGGGGAGGCAGCCCCACCTAGGAGACCCTAGTTCAAGTTCCTTCCTCTGACAGGGTGCTATGCGGCCTTGGGCAAGTTCCCTCCTCTGGGCCTCACCTTGACATCTCTCTATGATGAAGCTGATGGCAGCCACGAAAGGCTGTTGTGCTGTAAGGGGCAGCAGGAGACCGAGGTTGGGCTAACATCTTTCGCTGGGCTGGGCAGGACATTGCGCCTTTTGAGGGGAGTGCCTAAAAGGAGGGCATTAGACAACTTTGGCAGGAAAATAAAGACAAATCTGAAAGAGATGTAGGCATTTAGGGCAGCTCTTCTTGGACCAAATATAGTTAAACATGTGGGGCATATTTTCCATTAGATTTTTTTGTCTTTGCATAAGAGTGGCTATTTATCCAAGTCCCCAAAGCAGGCCAGGGACAAGAAGCTGTCTGTGATTCATGTTGGATGCTAGTGGACCTGGAGAGTGTCCAGGCCTGGCTTGGCTGCCGGTGGCCCTTAGAGAGAAGTGTTTGACTGTAAGTCCAGCCGGGGTTGGGGATGCTCTTCTTACAGTGGATGCTGCCAGGAAGGCAGAGAGCACCCCATTTCTGGCCAGAGGGGTCTTCTTTAGGGTCACTGGGGGCAGGGGGCATCCAGGGCAAGGTGAGGACCAAGCACACTCACACATGTGGGCCAATGGCCCAGGCAAAAGTTGGGGTGAGGAGAATGGTTGCCAGTGTGGCAGTGACGCCCCCTTTGCATGCCTAAGTAACAACTTGTGAAATCCAGATGAGGTCAGTAGTTTGGTTCAGAGTTCGGTACCAATGTCAATTTCTGTGGGCCAATGGCCCAGGCAAAAGTTGGGGTGAGGAGAATGGTTGCCAGTGTGGCAGTGACACCCCCTTTGCATGCCTAAGTAACAACTTGTGAAATCCAGATGAGGTCAGTAGTTTGGTTCAGAGTTCAGTACCAATGTCAATTTCTTGGTTTTTTTTTTTTTTCCTTTTTGTCTTTTTTTCGTGACCGGTAACGGGATCGCAACCCTCGGTGTCGCGCCTGCACCACGCTCAACCAGTGAGCGGACAGGTCTCTATATGGGATCCGAACTCTCAGCGGGAGCGCCACCGCACTCCCAAGCCCTGCACTCTACTGAGTGTGCCACCGGGCCGGCCCTCAATTTCTTGGTTTTGATCATTGTGCTATGGTTACATAAAGTGTTAACCTTCGGGGAACTTGGTGGAAGAGTACATAGGAACTACATACTATTTTGCAATTTCTACATGAATCTTAAATTATTTCAAAATAAAAAGTAAAAACAAACAAACAAACAAACAAACAAAAAAACGCCTGGGAATGTGAACCTGCCCTATTATCTTAGGAGCGCCATGGTCCCCACTGCACTATACCTGGCATTTATGGTGGGCCAGGCCCCATTCCCATCCTACACAGCCCTGCAAGAGAGGCCTATTAAATGAGCTAATGCAGAGTCAAGCAGTAGCACGGCACCCGGCACAGAGNGCCCCCTTTGCATGCCTAAGTAACAACTTGTGAAATCCAGATGAGGTCAGTAGTTTGGTTCAGAGTTCGGTACCAATGTCAATTTCTTGGTTTTTTTTTTTTTTTCCTTTTTGTCTTTTTTTCGTGACCGGTAACGGGATCGCAACCCTCGGTGTCGCGCCTACACCACGCTCAACCAGTGAGCGGACAGGTCTCTATATGGGATCCGAACTCTCAGCTGGAGCGCCACCGCACTCCCAAGCCCTGCACTCTACTGAGTGTGCCACCGGGCCGGCCCTCAATTTCTTGGTTTTGATCATTGTGCTATGGTTACATAAAGTGTTAACCTTCGGGGAACTTGGTGGAAGAGTACATAGGAACTACATACTATTTTGCAATTTCTACATGAATCTTAAATTATTTCAAAATAAAAAGTAAAAACAAACAAACAAACAAACAAACAAAAAAACGCCTGGGAATGTGAACCTGCCCTATTATCTTAGGAGCGCCATGGTCCCCACTGCACTATACCTGGCATTTATGGTGGGCCAGGCCCCATTCCCATCCTACACAGCCCTGCAAGAGAGGCCTATTAAATGAGCTAATGCAGAGTCAAGCAGTAGCACGGCACCCGGCACAGAGGGAAGGTTTGGAAACTGTTAACCAATGTGATCATATTAATCACATCTTGAAAATGAAGAGACAGCCTCAGAGAGCTGAAGTGACCTGGCCAGTCACGCAGCTCACAAGTAGTTGAGGTTGGGTTTGGTTCTACACTGCCAACTTAGTACTGTGACTCTATTAGACTTCTCTCTTCTCTGCTGTCATATTGTCAAGGATTATTTGTAAAACCTTCTTGAAACTTCTAACCAGGATCTGACCACACTCTCACCATCATGTTGTATACTTCTCTTTTCCCTCATCTCTTCCCCCATGGGGCAGGAGGGTTGTCCTTGGGGGCTTCCTGCAGGCCGGGTCCTGTGATCAGAGAGGAAGAGAGTGGAGAAGCTTAGGTTTGGGATGGAGGGGCTGGCAGTGCAGCTCCTGAGCCTCTGCTGGTGATGGGACCCTTTGACCACACACCCCATCCTGCTGGCTTTGTGAGTGGGCCCAGAACACAGTCTGTCCCTGCAGGCAGAACAGCATCTCCTTGGTGGGAGTTTATGCCTGCGTCCTCCAGGTGGGTGAGAACCAGGGCCTTTACAGTGGTCCCAGCTCAGCCAGCCCCAGAGCAGCTCCTAAAGGCCCCACAAGGGGTCCAAGGCTGCACAGGGGTCCAGCACAGAGGGAAGCTTGAACTTAGACCCAGTTCACTGCCTCTGACCTGTCTGACCATCTGTGTTGCAGAGGACACCTACAGCTCTGAGGAGACTGTGGACCACCAGCCTGTCCACCTGAGGGTCATGGACACGGCGGACCCGGTAATATTACCCCCATTACCCATGGAGAGCTGAGAGTCAGTGTAGCCTCCCGAGAAGACCTGGCCCAGAGTACAGAGCCTCAGATGGAAATTTGGATCCATTCTAAGCTCCAGTTTGCTGTGTGACCCTGAACGAGGCACTGACCTCTCTGGGCCTGGATCTTTCATTTGCCAAATGAGAAGGATGGGATGGGTCCTAGGGAGACCTGGTGATTGCTGACATCAGCTCCGAGAACCTATGTTGTGGCACTTGCTCATGCACACATGGAGACAGGTGCAAACCTGTTCACAGATGCCCCCGGTGGGAGCTCCTCAGCCCAAGTTCCCTTCCCCCAACACACACATCTCCCCCGTGTCCTCACCACCCTGCCAAGGCCAGATGCCAGTTATTCTCATGAGCCAAAGGGGCAGCATGAACCTGACCCAAAACCAGCAGTGCCCAGGGACAGCGGGGTCTCTGGAGGGGCCATGCTAGCGTCTTTGGCTCTGTGCCTATGGGACCAAGGTCTCCAAGTCTCTGGCTGGGTGGTGGGAGGGAAGTTTATGAGACAATGTCTCCTTTCACGCCAAGCCAAATCCACAGTCAAGTGCCCCTTTGAAAAGGGCTCTGCTGGGGAACAATATACAAAGACCCAGGGAGTGGGGAGGTGGGACGGGGCAGCTCAGGTGAAGGCCTTTCTGCTGAACCTCTTCTGTCCCTGAGTGGGCCTTCCCTCCTCCTCCCCAGGACATCCCCAGGAACTGTGAGCGCTACCTGAACTGGGCCCACGCCTTCCTTGTGGTGTACAGTGTCGACAGCCGCCAGAGCTTCGAGGGCAGCAGCAGCTACCTGGAGCTGCTCGCTTTGCACACCAAGGAGACACAGCGCGGCTCCCCTGCTCTGTTGCTGGGCAATAAGCTGGACATGGCCCAGTACAGGTATGTGCCAGCAGTCTGGCCCTCACATCCAAAGTGCACTTTCCTTATCTGAAAAGGCCGGTGGGATCTTCAGGGATCGGTTGGCTGCTAAGAACAGTAATCCTCTCAAATTTAGGTAAAAGGAATTGTGTTGTAAGGGTATGGTGGACATTGGTCTTCCAGATAGCCAAGGACAGGAAGGAAAGGGCATCTGGCCACAGAGGGGCTGGACCCCGAAAGTCAGAAGAGAGGCCATTCCTTCCACCCTCGTGGGTCTCCATAGTCTGTATTGGCCTCACCCTTTTTTGCCTGAGCCTTTATTTTTATTTTTTTTATTTTTTTTTTTGTCTTTTGTCTTTTTCCATGTCCGGCAACGGATTGCAACCCTCAGTGTT